TTTGCAACACCTCCTTTAAATCTTGTAAATGTTGCTCCATAGAATGGCTCCGAATGACCATGTCGTCGACGTAAACATCCATGCATCGGCCTATCTGACGATGGAAAACTTTATCCATGAGGCGTTGGTATGTAGCCCCGGCATTCTTCAAGCCGAACAGCATTACTTCATAACAATAATTGGCGCACTCGATAATGAAAGTTGTCTTGCTCTGATTAGGTGCGTACATGGGGATTTGGTTGTATCCCGAGTATGCGTCGAGGAAGCTAAGTACAACATGGCAGGAAGCCCCATCTACCAACCGATCGATGTTAGGCAAGTTGATATGGAATCTTTAGGGCACGCTTTGTTGAGGTCGGTGAAGTCGACACACATTCTCCACTGGCCGTTCGACTTCTTGACCATGACCCGTCCGACAACCCGTTTGTAATTTAACTCCCTGATGAACTGGGCGTTCATCAACTTCTCGACCTCGACCTGAATGGCCTTGCGCTTCTCTTCTCCGAACCGTCGCTTCTTTTGCGCGACAGGGCGTGCCTCTCTGAAGATGGACAACTTATGGGCCATGACTCCGAGGTGGATTCCTGGCATATCGGAGGCTGTCCACGCGAACAAATCCGCGTTGGTTCGGATCATACGTCCCAGATCCTGTTCATCCTTCAAAGCGAGGTCCCCGCCAATGGTTGTGGTTTTGGACGCGTCCGCTGCCAATGAAAGGAATTTGACATCGCCTTGTGGATGGAGACGTTCGTCTATGTTAGTGCGGGGGTCCAAGTCGACCGCCGCTGTTTCAGCTCCTTTCGCCCTTTTGGTTGGTATAAAAGGGGTGACCTTAAGCCCGGCAACATAACATTGTCGAGTCGTTCGCTGATCCGCTCTTACGGTGCAAATAGTGCCACGTTCCGTGGGAAACTTCATGGCTAGGTGAGGGGTGGACACGATGGCTCCAAATGCATTCAAACAAGGTCGCCCTAGCAAGGCGTTGTATGATGTATTGGCCTCGACCAACAGAAAGCGGACTTTAAGTTCCGGTGCCTCCCGACCCGTTCCAAGACGCGTTCGTAGGTCGAGGTACCCCCGGGTGTCGACTCTTTCCCCTGAAAAGCCTACAATTTGCTCGTTGAAAGGGGCATGAGTCCTCGGATGATCCATCTTTTTGAAGGTGGACCAATATAGAATGTTGACCGAACTCCCTGATCGACGAGTACCTTGCTGACGTCGTATCGACTATTTCGGCCGTGATGACCATGGGGTCATCGTGATCATTTGTCCGGGCGCATGGAAATCTGCGTTGGGAAGGTAATCAGGAATCGACCGCGCTGTCGATCCACCATTGTTACCGACTTATGTCCTTAGATGTCGTTTCCTGGCGGAGGATGCCACCCCCCCCCCCCCCCCCGGCTAAACCACCGGATATGGTGTCGATTCGACCTCGGACTGAACGTTCTCGCTCCGTTCGTCGGGGTTGGCTGCGCGATCGCCTGCGGCGTCGGTCATCCTTGGGAGGCGATCGCTCGGGGCTCCGTCTGGAGGGATCCTTATGGTGAGGAGTTGTGGCTCTGGTGGAGATTCTGTCCTTAACGTAGTTTTGGAGGTAGCCTGCTCGGATGAGTCGCTCCACCTCGTCCTTCACCATGTTGCATTCTTCCGTGTCATGCCCATGGTTCATGTGGAGGCGGTAGGTCTTGCTGCTGTCCGCGTTCTTGGGAGTAGCTCTTCGCCGCACAGTTAGGAGTTCGGCGTGCAAAGCCTCCTCGAGCACCTTTGCTCATGGTGCGTTGAGGGTCGCATAGCGATCGTACTTAGACGTCCACCCTGACTCTTTTCGGGGCGGTCGATCTGATTTATAGTCGTTGGTCGATCGCTTTGCGGTTTTCTTTACATCATGATTGGGGTTATCCTGCTGCTGCTTTTTTCTAGAATTCCGGAGATCTTCGATGCGGATGAACTTCGCAATTGTGGATTGCAGTTCTTCCATAGATGCTGGCGGGTCAGCATATAACTGTTCTGCAAAATACCCCGGCCTTAAGCACGAAGGTAGATTGCTGATGACGAAGGTGTGATTGATATCTTTCACACGTCGGGCCGTCTCGTTATACCGTTGCATGAAAGCCTTTAGGGTTTCATCCTTCTCTTGCTTAGTATTCACAAGCTCAGCAGCAGTCATCTCCGGTCTTCTGTTTGTCGCGTACTGCTTTCGGAATAGAGTTTCGATTGTTGCGAAACAGTCTACTGAATTCCGTGGAAGAGTGTGGAACCATTCCAGGGCCTCATCCTTAAGGGATAAGGAGAAAGCTCTGCAAATGACAGGGTCGTTGTCTGTGTAGAACGCCATGGCGTCTATAAAGTTACGCAGGTGGTTGTCGGGATCGGCGGAGCCATCGTAACGTTCTAACGCTGGGGAGGTTTATCTGGCATATGCGCTTGCATGATGGCCTCCGTGAATGGGAGCAGGTTGGAGAGGCGTATGGAAGTAGGCCCTTTCTTCCCCCCGCCAAAAGGGTCAGACAGTCCTCCATGGTGGCTCCCTTCATTATCGTCTTGTCGGTTTGAGGCTGACAATTCTGGCGGTGGGCGCTGCGCTCTCAGTGTCGCCAGCTCCTCAGCCTGCTTGCGCTGGAGTTCTTGTTGCTCCCGTATAGTTTGTGCTTGTGCCTCAATCTGTGTCTACAGCTGCTTGATCAAATCGCGAGTGTTGAAGTCTTCCATTGCTCCGGTGGTCGTCGTTGGGATTTCAAATCTCGGGCCCCACGGTGGGTGCCAAAAATGTTTCAGTATGGATGTGGAAACCGAGATACGAACCTAACATAACTCAACTGCTTCTTCCCGTGATGTTGTTACCGTGATATCTTTCTTCCTATGTTATGCTTTCTGATGGGAAAATGGGCTGGGTACCTGCAAAGGCACTCCGACGCTCAAGTCAGAAAAGGGATGTACTGAACCTTTTCGTTTCAGGTAACCTCAGCAGAAGAAGAATAATTTCTCTCTCTTAATTTCTCTTAAGGAAAACCCGTACCTTTTTTTTCTGGTCCTGGCTCATATTTAACACATAAAATATAACCGTTACCCTGAAATCCGGTCATTTTACCGAAGTTGACTACCTGGAATTGTAACCGTTAATCGTGGTTGGATACTGGTTCGGTTATTCCCTTCCGTGATTCTCGTCGTTGTACTAATTTCGTATCTGTTTACCCTAACCAACCGCTAAAACCGTTTTAACTATGACAACCGTAGACATCGCTTATATATGTCGATCGTCTTGTGTATCGACACAAACATGCGAGTTGTCGTGTGAGCGCTATATGTCGCGACATCACTGGTTGTCGATTGCCAAGTCATGCAAGTTGTCGTGTGAGCGCTATATGTCGCGACATCACTGGTTGTCGATTGCCAAGTGGTCGACATCAGTATGTAAATGTTTGATGTTAAGAAGCGTTTGACACACCTACGATCGTGACATTACGATCGTGAGAAGTCTCGGCAAACGGTCGCCTGGGTTACTTATCGACCGTTGGTAACATCAGGTATACTACGGTACAACGTCTTTATTATATATGCATGATGTATATAATTGGGATGCCACATTTGTTGTGGTAGAGCACGAAGCACTTAAAAAACTGTGTTAGCGTGGCCCTGGTCCTAAAATTGAATCATAATTATTAGTAGAAGGAAAAAATTTAATAGAAAAGTAAAACACTGACATGGTTGTACTAAGTAGTAGGAAGTCCGAGAAGGGACATAAAGATACCTTGAAGCACTCAACTACAGTAGAGAATCATGAGGAAAGTGCGCGGGCAAAGAAAGAACCGTAGTGTAGCCTCGCAGCGAGTAACCGCCATTACCACGCAACGGAGCGTTGAAAAAAAGTCCGCCAGTGAGCCACGTCATAGTTTCGCTGTTATAAATCGTGAAAGCCTCTCCTGCCCGGTCGCACCTGATTCACTCCCCCCACTTTCTCACAGACCCAACCCAACCCGCCTTGGATCACCTCACCGAGCATCTCACGGATCGGATCTGAGGAATCAACTATAGAGACATGTTCTATAGAATAAAATGGTTTATAAATCAGTAATGAAACTTAAACAGAGCATAAAAATTAATTGAAGAATAGAAGAATCTAAAATTGGGGAAGATATATATGAATCTAGCTCAAACCTGACTGTAAGCCATGCAAAGTACTGCCATGGCGGGTGTTCTCACATGGCTTAAGCTGCGTAGAAAAAATGTAGGACCTAGTAACCCAACTGATTGCATAATCTGTCAAAAGAGACATTTTTAAAAAGCGAAATCATTTTAAAGGAAAGAAAGGAAAATGAATTAGTCTAGGTCTCAATTTCTTCACTTTAATGTTTTAATCAGAGTATTATTTAGGTTTAATCCTTTTCGACATCCCTATTTATGTACGAATGTCTCAGATGGGTCCTCGTTTTCTAAAGTGTATCAAAATGGTCCTTATTTTGAAAATTGATATCAATTGAGTCCTTTCCGTTAAGTTGGCTGGACGGCGTTAAAAAAATTGATGAAGTGGATGCTGAGATGCGAACGAACCTCGTCCACATCGCAACGAACGCTCGTCCATCAGCGAACGAACGCTCGTCGACCACCGAACGAACGAGTTCTCCAGAGCAGTAAGCAGTTCGCGAGCGTTCGTTTCTGTGGTGGACGAGGCGGTCGTTCGCTGGTGGACGAGCGGTCGTTCGATGGGACGAGCGTTGTTCGCTGGGGACGAGCGTTCATTCGTCATCTCACGCATCCACTCATCAATTGTTTTACGCGTCCAGCCAACTTAATGGAAAGGACTTCAATTGATATCAATTTTCAAAATTAAGGACCATTTTGATACAACTTAAAAACGAGGACCCAATTGAGACATTCGTACATAAATAGGGTGTCAAAAGGATTAAACCTATTATTTAATTATCCGGGAAACGTACTTGAAAATTTTCACAATAAAATTGTGTTTATACGGGGGGACTGTAATGAATGCTCCTGTACTGTTATTTGCTTTAAAAATTTAAGAAAAAAATTTGAACGCTATTTGGTTGAATACTATTTGGACGAACGCTAGGAGATCATGTACTATTGACCCGAACGCTAAAAACTCAGCACACCATATTGACCGAACACTCTTAGAACAAACACTGAGATCAAACATTTGGCCGAACGCTCAAAATCGAACACCAGATCAAACACTATTATGACGAACGCTATTTGATTAAACGCTACTGGATCGAACGCTAGAACAACGAACTCCATACTACATCGAATACTGTTTACACGAACGTTAAGATTGATCACTTATGCTCGACACTAAACACCAAACGCTATTAGACCGGATACCATTAGGTCGAACACCAAAAGATCGAACGCTAAGTAAGATTAAGCACTTAGACTTCACGCTAAGACAACGAACTATACTATAACAAATACTATTATTTCGAACACTATTCGAACGAACGTTCAAAGATCAAAATCTCGCCGAACACTGCCTCTGACGAACACTATCTGAGGGCAACATCATCGAGACCGGACGTTCCCTACGAACGACCACTAACTATTAACGATCCTTACCTGAGACAAGCATCATCCAAACCGAGCACTACCTATGAATGATCACTACCTGAAACATGCATCATCACGACCGATCACTACTTATTAATCGATCGCTACCTCAGAACAAATATCAAGGCCGAACACTCCCCATAAAAGATTGCTACCTCAGAGCAACATCACCAGTAAAGATCATTCCTTATAAACGATCGCTATGAGACAGAACACTATAAGGACGAACGTTTTGAGTCTTGGTTGAACGCCTAGAGCACTTTGCCGAACACCTAAAGTATTGGCCGAACGTATTCAAACTAAACCTCAGGGTATCAAATTAAGACCGAACACTAGCTACCTGAGAACAACTATCATCAAGATCAAAGGCTACCTAATGACGCTCGCTACCTGATAACAATTAACATCAAGACCAAACGCCACTAATATGAACGCTCGCTACTACCTATGGACACTCTCTACCTGAGGACACCTGAGAACATTTATCATCAAAATCAAAAGTTACTTATGGGCGCTCGCTACCTAAGAACAAATAAAATGAAGACAGAACGATTAAGATTCAAACCTAAGAATATCAGATGAAGGCCGAACGCTACAATCACTAATTCACCAGACCGAACGCTACAGATTGCTTCATGAGAATACTTAATTAAGGACGAACGCCTAAAATTACTAATTCACTGTATACAGTTTGGACGAACGTCTAATATACTACTAACTTTACTTAAGGACGAACGCGAACGCTCGTTACCTTAGAACACCAAAACCCAACGCTCGTACTATTTTGGCCGACCACTAATTCGTCGAGCAAATTGGACGAACGTCCAATTTTGACTCACCAAAATTGGACGTACGCGCGTTCTGCAGAATTCTGCAAAATCGCACCAGATTCCAGAAAACCCAGAAAACCCCATTTTTCATCCCCTTCATTCCAGATTTGCATCAAACACAGATTATCTCAAAAATCAAAGAAATAAATCCAACTCCCCTCACCTCTTGAAGACTTCCTTTGTAAAATTTGGAATCTATCTCCCCCAAGACGTGCAGTTTGTAACATCCCATAAGTACAGTAATAAACCATACAAATAGAATAATCACATTAATTAACATATCAATTCAGTCTTACACTAAAGTTAAAGTACGCTCGTGGCCGAACGGCCTTACAAGAAGCGAGTTACAAAATAACGAGATGTACCATAAGCTAACTTGACCGAACGGTTTACAAAGCAAAAATACCGAACGGTTAAATCAAGAAAAGGGAAAGTGGTCGTTCTAAGACAACTCGCTAAAATAACTAAACTAAACAATTAACCGAACGGACTACTGTTCGGCCTTCACTTCTACATCCACGAGGTTCTCTTCCTCTAAAATTCCTTCTTCCAGCGTCTCCTCCAGTAACGCATCACCATCTGCTCACATCCACACAGATGATCATTGCAAAGACAAGACGGACGTACAGATACAGGACAACACAAGGAAACACAGGGTAAGCTTATGTAATTTAATTCATACATCAACATATAAAATAAACATTTCAACACACAAAAGTAATTCCACAATTATATCAGTACGAAGCCTATCACTAGACTGACCATCCGGACTGTATGAATCTGCGTAGCTACGACGTTCGTGCACCTGGGTGATGTAGTAACTAGGATACCCTCAACAGCTGCCACCCGAGGTTAGCCCTATCAGTCCAAAGTACCCCTAAGGACTAGGACCTCCTGCCGTTCCCACACATGACCTACCCTCCTCTACATGAGGACGAGTACT